GGTGTTAATTCAATATAAGCTCTTTTATTAAGTTGTAAACTCTTCGCTTTACATAACTGGTAACATACATGTACTTCTTCCCCTAAATGTCGTATGCTACAATAAGCCAATAATTGATAGATATGAGAACAGGTACCTGGGTCCTTCTCTGAAGGCTTAAGAACGTAGGTGTTACCACAAGTAGCTGCAACAGGAAACATCTGCACCAAATTCAAATATAAATTACATAAAGATACTCATATTTTCTGAAACTTAAGCTTAACCCCGTTCCCAATCCCCCCCTCCCCCCCAAAAAAAGGGAAAAGAAAAGAAGAAAAAAAATTCATACTAATCACAAACAAAAGCTTTCTTGATCTCATAGTGTTGTTATGTGGAAATGAGACTGATTCCTCAAGCATGTTAGAAGTCAAAGAGAAGGCAACCAAGCTCGAACAGAGACTAAACAATAAAGAGATTTGAGAAATGCACTTGAAATGTATGGAAACTGCGAAAGGAGCAAAAAAAAAAAAGATATGCCTACCCATAAGGGAATCATTGCCGGAAAGTTGAACGGACAAATCCCAGCACAAACACCCAGAGGTTCCCTTATGCTATAGGTATCAATTCCATTTGATACATTAGACATATACTCGCCCATCTGCAAAGTCGCCATTCCGCATGCATGCTCCACCACCTCTTCACAAAACAGAAAACAGAAATTCAAGTTCACAGTCATAATATATAAGATGTTTCCCTATGCCTTAGTGAGTGAAGAACCAACCAAGACCACGGAATACATCGCCTTGTGCATCTTTCAATGTCTTTCCTTGTTCAGTAGTCACATTCAGGGCAAGCTTATCCTGGAACAAACATATGATAAATGACGTGAACAGAGATCACAAGCAAAGAACTGCAGAAAGATACCGGAATTGAACAAAAACAAACCATGTTCTTCCTAATAAGCTCTTGGAATTTGAGCATGACCCGCTGTCTTGTGGTTATGGGTGTGTTCCTCCATGACGGGAACGCCTCCTTGGCTGCAGAAACCGCAGACTTGAACTCCTCATTTGTGGTTAAAGGTATCTGAGAAACCACCTCTTGTGTTGCCTATAACCAAAACCCAAGCAATCAAAAACTTCCCCTAACTGGAATCCAAGAACATTCTGCACCCAACATATTAGCATATAATGTATAAATTGCAACTTTAACGCGATTCACTTACTGGGTTTATAACATCAATGAATTCTGATGATTTTGAATCTACAAAGCTGCCACCAATTAAATTTGGAACTCTCTGATAAACAAGACCAAGAAAGTTCTTAGCTCAAAACACTGTTTCATAAAAAACTAAGATAGACTAAAAGCTGCCTCTCCGATTGAACTAAGCTATTCTATCAACAGTAAGTCTGATTACACTAAGCCTATTTTTCATATCTGAAAGACAGAACCTTCAACACTAATTAAGCTTCAACTTGCTTCATTTCCGTCCATTTCATAGAAAAAAAAATCAAGACTGATTAATTAAGATAAAAAGTAGAATAAATTAAAACATGGGGTAACGAGGTACTGACAGCAACTGAGAAGTGATGATTAGAGAGAGCAAAAACCCTTGGAGTCAAAGACCTCACTTTCCTCACTGCAACAAATACAAGATTTATGGGTTATATTATCAATTAATAGACATGATAAATATGGAAAATAATAAAAAGGGTATTCTATAAATTGGGGAAACCTTACTTCTATGGACTGAAAACTGCATCATTGTTCCTCAGACTAACCGTGCTATATATTTGGTCCAAGAAAATGGTGTTTTTAAAAAGCAGATAAGAGCAATGCTATTGCAATTTTCTAACTCTTTATCGATTTCACAAATTATTTTAGAGATTATCGGATAGCTGATGATTGATGATGAAGATCAGAGTGAGTGATAAGGAGTTAGGAAAATATTGCCTCACTGCATTTTAAAATGGAAAATTTTGGTAGGTAAATAATTTTGCCCTTTTCGAAGCTATCCAGTTTGGAGATCAGCCACGTCACTTGTCATACTGTGTCGGGTATCTTTTTGTTTTTTAAAAGTTAAGACCCCTTTTAAAATATGGAAAAGATTTTTAAAGGAGAAATAACCAATTATATTGGTGATATTGCATATCGGCCACCTTCGAGTAAGGGTGTTTAACGGGTGGGCCGGGACGGGCCGAGTTGGGAAAAAGGAAATCGGCCGGTTTCCAATTCGGGCCGGTTATGGGTTAGACTAAACCGGGCTTAACTGGTTACGGGTTCAAGGGGCCGTTCCGGGCCAGGTTAGTGTTATTTTTTTTTTTCGTATTTTGTATAACTATTATAATCTATATTAATATAAAGTAAAAAATGTAAAGAATACAATGAAGATGGAAAAAAAATTGCACTTATAAATTGCAAGTGCTTTTTTATTTCAATATTCAAACGTACAAATTGAAGTTTACATTTAACAACAAGTAAATTAACGAAAAAAGAGTAAATTCAACGGTCTAAAACATTTAAAAAAAATCAGAAATATAGCCTTTAAACCTTTCCGGGCCGGTTAACCGGATCTATTTAGGTGAACGGACCAACCCCCTAAACCCAGCCCACCCGGCCCCCTAACTACCGGTCCGGATTTGTAGAAATGGCATGGGATAGCCACTATTTAAGGTGGTATTTAGTTTTTATCCAGCAGTTCTAATGTTGAGCAAAAATAGCCACTACCCTATTAAAATTAATATGAAAAGATATTTTTACCCTTTCTTCCCTTGCTTTTCTTCCCAAACTCTCAGGGATGGATGATGTACGCTCCACTACCATCATCTACCATGATGGTAGTGGCTATTAATTTTAATATCATTCTGTTACCACCCACTACATTTTCTTCTTTCTAGCTTATGTTGTTGTTGTGTCATCATTGATCTTGACAGATATTTGAACTTTTCACTTTCCATTTTCACAAATTTCTGTAGATTGTTCGTTGCGACCTCTAGTCTTTTTTTGGGGATTGACAGGCATTTGAATGTTAATTACAGATATAGAGTAACAGTAAACAGGGCTATGACTTTCTCTTAATTGTGGCATAGCTTGGTATAGAAAACTGTAAAAGCAATGGAAAGTGCTCGCTTGTATAATGTATTTGAAACTTCAATCATAGCTGGACGGTTTTTCTGATAACTGTCTGTTGATTATACTATGGATTACTGGAGAAGGTTCGTTACTTTTATATATATTTGTTAAACTGAGAATAGATTGTTGCTAATGATTTATTACTTTCAAAGTCCCCTTTTTCTTTAGACTAACAAGCTCAAAAGTTAAGGACAATAGGTCCTGAACTTACAGTTACAAGTTCAAAAGTTAAGGACAATAGGTCCTTAACTTTGATTTCCAAGTTCAAAAGTTAAGGACAGACAGTCCTTAACTTACAGTTACACGTTCAAAAGTTAAGGACAAGCAGTACTTAACTTACAGTTACAAGTTCAAAAGTTAACGACAATAGGTCCTTAACTTTGACTTACAAGTTCAAAAGTTAAGGACGTTTGGTCTTGAAGTTTGAGTTCCAAGTTCAAAAGTTAAGGACATGTAGCCTTGAAGTCCTGAACTTAGAGTTCCAAGTTCAAAAGTTAAGGACATGTAGTCCTAAACTTAGAGTTACAGGTTAAAAAGTTAAGAACATGTAGTCTTGAAGTCCTGAACTTAGAGTTTCAAGTTCAAAAGTTAAGGACATGTAGTCCTGAAGTCCTGAAGATAAGGACATGAGCAGAAGGGTATTTTCGTCCGGGCAGTTAAAGTTTATTAAACCAGTGGCTAAAGACTAAAGACATTTAAAACACTGGCTTTAAAATAAAGACATGAGCTGTTAGTGGCTATTTGTGCACATCGCCCGTTTGCTTAACTATTTTCTTGATTGCAGCTCTGTAATTAGCTCTCTAATATATTGGAAAAAACAGTCACGATTGATGAAGTTCAGAATAGAGCTCAAATTTTCAAGTCATATTAAATATTGATGAAAAGTGTTATAACATTGTTACGGGATAGGAAGACATTCACCCAAGATGAAATGCAAGTTTAATAAGAATGTTGTGGGACTATCTATATTATATGTGAGTAAATGTTAGGTTTATAAAGTCACAAATATCCGCAAAGATATAGAAATGTAGATGTTAAGTGAATGCGCGATCCTACGGGATAGGCAATATCGGAATGTACAATGGGGGATTTGATCTTGTCAATTTAGACCATAAAATGTACAATGGAAGCATATGTATAGACTATAGACAAGTCCAATTGGTGGCAGTTAAGATTAATCATTAGTGGCACTATACATTAAGTCTGGATTTGACAAGAGTCTTTTAAGTTTGGTTAAAGATTGTACAATAGTTTAGTAGAATGAAACGAATGAATTTATTTCCTTAAGGGGACTCTTACCTTTTCTACTAAGGGGGAAGGAAAATAGAAGAGTAAGAATTCAACTGCTGTATGGGAAATTACCAAGTCTCTCAATAAACTATAAGCCTTGTTAGTTTCCTTTACTGTCTATTTGTCTAAGATACGAATCTTATCATAGCACTTTGTGTATTGACATCTCGTCAGTTCAACATTTCCAAAGATCTCGTAATTTTTTTTAATTAGAAAAACAGTACATGCTTATGAAATACTGCCATATTGATGCTACACATTTTGTTAAAACTTCCAAAACTCAGAAATTTTAAGTCCTACATGCAATTTCAGGTGAAGGACGTTCAAATTAAACTTCAATTAGCACCAACAGCACATAGCACCCACATCAAATATTTCACGGAAATATGCACACGATTTTAACGTCAAATTCGTTGTTTCTAGCATTGGAAATTGTTTCTAGTCCTATAAAGTCTCGACTCTTTAACACTTTCAAGCAACCAATCTTCACATATGATCCTAGTCACTTCTTGGACCAGATCCATCAGACAAAGAAGGAACCGACAGAAAATAGCTCAGCTAATCATTTCGGGAAAATATATCAAGAAAAACTAAAATAAAATCAATCCTTTAGCAAACAAAACTAGAACTATTATTCACATTTTCTAGTACCAGCTATAAATGATTGCTATTTAAAAGTTCAATGTCCAATGTGATCCATCAGATATTGGTATTGTTGGGGACATACCATTACCACTTGGAATATCCCCTGAATGTTCTCCCAGAGATTCACCATCGCTACATCCTGGGAAATCCTTTGGGTGTAAAGCCATATGGACTCCATCTCCATTTGAGAAATCCCCTGAATGTAGCGCCAGCGGTTCTCCACCACTCTGGTAATCAATAGATTGTAATCCCTCGGTTACTCCATCACCACTTTGATAATCCCCAGTACCACTCTGATATTCAAAAGCTTGCAGTCCCTGAGATAATCCATCATCACTTTGGGGGTAGTTTGATGTTAAGGGTGGCAATCCTCCTTCATTACTGGAGAACTCCTTCCATTGCTGAGTCACTGTCTTTATTTGGGTGTAAAATTGTACACCAGCTTTGCCTACATAGCCCACAGCTCCAATTAAGACAACTAAGATGCAGAAAAAATTAGTAGATAATAGGAACAAAGGTATTTATTCCAAGTATGTTTACCATTGGCATTGATATCCCCAGCAAAAGACAACTCTGAGCATGTGAGAGAGAAGAGGGGCAGAGGAGCAGGAACAGCAGCATTTATGCAAACCTGAGTTCATCAATATTGCAAAATTATCAAATTTTCTGACACCAATTTGGATGTACAAGTTTCTCAATTTCTCCATTTACTATTGTTTATTTTTTTTCTAATGACGGTGTCTAGGTTAGGTTGTGAGCACCTTGACTACTACACTCGATACCTGCCACCTTTGACTAGCACAGGTACCGGGTAACTCTTGTTTCTCGTGGTTTTCACCCACTTTATTGATTGCTAGCCACACCCTTGGATGCCTCAGTTTCTCCATAATACAACTTACTTCAAATCTTTCCTTGTCAGACCTTTTTCGGAGTGTTAATAATTGTAGTTGCTAGTTGTTACTTATTTCTGTAAGTGGACTAAATTGCCCCTCAGTTATTTATTTCGATAAGAATTAAATTTGTTCACTAATTGAGGCTTCTTCTTCTTACAGAGGGCTATTTCTTCTCGTTATGTTAAATAGCAAAGGTGGTTTTAAGTTGTACTTAAAACATACTTTTTATATTCTTCACCTTTTAAAATTTAGTGTTTATTTTTATCAGTTCTGAATTGAAAACTTTAATCAGAATGTATTTTCTCATATTCCTGAACTTAACCATTCCTTCTCCTTCATAAAGATGCAACGTGAATAAAATCTATCAAATATATCCCACCTATTTCTACTCCCCTATTGCAATGTCTTACCTGCCTTGTTTCGATCTCAATCTGGAATTTCCTCGCAAGTGCCCCAGAGCCCGTGAAGATAGATGTTCCATTGCAATATTTTCTTCATAAAAAGCAGCATAAATGATAAGATAAAAATAAAACAGAAAACTTCACACAAAGATTTAATAAGGAAGTAACGGGAAATACTTATTTCGGTTCACTAAGTTAATGGCCTCATCTATGCTATTAGCCTGCAGTTAAAAAGACCAAGAGGTGAGAAAATTTCAGTGAATTCACAAGAAATGCAGCAAAAGAACAGGGATCTGGAACTTGGAAACATATGACTAACCTGCATACAAAGAAGAACGGGACCTAGTATTTCCTCCTGCATACAAAAGGAACAATAGCACTTAGTAATACACTTTTTGCAAGCACATGAAAGTACTCAAGGAATTAGATTAAAAACTAGATACCTTGGCACATTCAATGTCTTCTGTGACATCAGATAATATTGTGGGACCAAAGAAGTTGCCCGACTCGTATTTGGAAACCTATTTGTCATCCACAAATGTTTAAGAGAGAGGAAAGCAGCTTTGGTACCTTTAAGTTGCAAAAAGGAACTCCATATTAGACCACATTCCTTCTCCTATCTCTAGGAGTTTCTCAACGAAAATGCAATCACTGCCACGGAAACTGACATCCAAAAGAATATTCTAATGTTGAAAACTCTGCAACACTACCCTTTTTTCTAGCAGAAAAAATGATCCAAGGAATCAAACTAATAGGTGGTCAATCTTGAAGAAAACGCAAACAAGAATCTAATAGATTAGCTGTGAAGTAGTTAGTCATGTTTAGTGTTCCACATCGGGAGGTAGATACCTATTATTATGTAATTACTGTATATAAATAGGGTTGTACAACACTTTAATCAATAATAATATTTTTCTCCCGTGCATTCTCACATGGTATCAGAGCATTAGTGAGAAAAGATCGTTGTGCGTCATTCCAGCGACATCCGGGAAGAAATAACTCAGTCACCGTGCAATTTTCCGGTGACCTAAGTGACAGATTTGCGTATCTTATGTTTGGTGAGTGTTGTGCACAAACCATCACCACCATTAGATTCAGAAACCTCCGGCGACCAAACCACAAAAAGATTCTCCGGCAACAGACGCCCCACGCGCCACCCAGATCTGCGATTCCGCAGGCGCGTCTGTCCCACGCATCGGCGCGTGCGTGCTTCTCCGGCCATTTTTTGGCCAAGCTTCTTGAGGACAGCCTAGTCGCACATAAATTCTGAGTCCATTGGTACTATTTCCGACAGTTTCCGACAACTTTGGAATTTTTCGGCGAGCTACAATGATTTTTCCGGCGTGAACAGTGATTCCCAGAAAATTTCTGCTTTTTTCCGGCACAATATTATAATGGCATTCGTATCAGAAGCCTTTAACTCACAATCAATTGGATCCAATGCATTGAATCCAATCCAGATGGTTTCTTGACCGGATTATATTGAGTTCCTTCAGTACAAAGCATGTAAACAGACATCTTCAGGGATAGCTTCCGTTGTTCAAACAGATAGTAGCGTGACTTGTGTCTCCCAATCTTCAACCTCTGAGTCTTGGGTCATTGATACAGGTGAATCTGATCATATTTCTGGTAACAAATCTCTTTTCACTAGTATTTCATATTCTCAATCTCTTCCAACAGTTACAATGGCCAATGGGTCTCAAACCATGGCAACTGCAATAGGTCAAGCAAGCCCCCACTTCTTTCCTTACCTTTAGATTCAGTCCTTTATGTTCCCAATAGTCCTTTTAATCTCATAGACGTTAGTCGCTTAGCCAAATCACTTAAATGCGCTGTTTTATTTCTTGATGACCTTGTTTTTATATAGGAACGCAGTACGGGGAGGATCATTGGTACCGGACGTGAATCAGATGGACTTTATTACCTTATCCTTGCAAAATCACATGGACTCGCATCTTGTCTTCCTTCAATAACTTGTCTTGTTACCGATTCACCAGATTTATTACATAAACGGTTGGGACATCCCAATTTGTCAAAACTTCAAAAAATGGTACCTGGTTTATCTCACTTGTCCACTCAAGAGTGTGAGTCATGTCAGCTTGGTAAGCATACCCGCTCCCATTTCCCTCGGCGTCTTGATAATAGAGCAGAGTCACCTTTTACTTTAGTCCATTCAGATGTTTGAGGTCCTAGTCGGGTCAGTTCTACCTTGATATTCTGCTATTTTGTGAGTTTCATTGATGATTATTCCAGGTGCACTTGGATATTTTTGATGAAAAATCGGTCTGAGTTGTTTTCTATTTCCCAGACCTTCCACGCTGAAATTCAAAATCACTTTGGGGTTTCTATCCGCACATTCCGTAGTGATAATGCCCTAGAGTATTTGTCTTTCCCATTTCAGCACTTTATGAACTCTCATGGGATTATTCATCAAACATCTTGTCCGTACAAATCTCAACAAAATGGGGTAGCTGGAAGAAAGAATAGACATTTTATTAAAACTGCTCGTACCCTACTCATACAATCTCATGCTCCGTTGCGTTTTTGGGGAGATGCAGTTCTTACATCTTGCTATCTTATTAATCGTATGCCATCTTCAGCTATCTAGAATCAAGTTCCATTCTCTGTCCTGTTTCCCCACTTACCTTTGTTCTCTCTTCCACCCCGTGCCTTTGGAAGCACATGTTTTGTTCATAACCTTACTCCAGGAAAAGATAAGTTAGCTCCTCTTGCTCTTAAGTGTGTATTTTTGGGTTACTCGAGAAAGCAAAAGGGGTATCGATGTTATTCTCCTGACCTCCAGCGGTATCTTATGTCTACTGATGTTACCTTCTTTGAAACCCAATCATACTTCACAGGTCCAGGTAATCACTTAGATATTTCTGAGGTGCTACCAGTTTCATCTTTTGGAGATTCAGTCACTACCTCCCATTCATATTCCTCTGCAACTCCAGCTCCACCACCTACTGCTCCAGTTGCACCTCCACCACCTATAGCTCCAGTTCCACCACCTAGTCCAGTTCAGCCTTCTGCAGCTCCACCACTCTTGACTTATCATCGTCGTCCACGTCCAGCATCAGGCCCAGGTGATTCATGTCCTGCATCAGATTCTGCACCTACTGCGGACTTGTCTCCTCTTAGTCAACCAATTGCACTCCGCAAAGGTGTACGATCCACTCTTAATCCTAATCCCCATTATGTCGGTTTAAGTTATCATCGTCTGTCATCACCTCATTATGCTTTTACATCATCTTTGTCCACTGTTTCTATCCCAAAGTCTACAGGTGAGGCACTATCTCATCCAGGATAGCGACAGGCTATGATTGAAGAGATGTCTGCTTTACATGCGAGTGGCACTTGGGAGCTTGTTCCTCTTCCTTCAGGTAAGTCTACTGTTGGTTGTTGTTGGGTTTATGCAATCAAAGTCGGCCTGCATAGCCAGGTTGATCGTCTTAAGGCTCGTCTTGTTGCAAAAGGGTACACTCAAATTTTTGGGCTTGATTATAGTGACACTTTCTTTCCCGTGGCTAAAGTAGCATCTGTTCGTCTCTTTTTGTCCACGGTTGATGTACGTCATTGGCCTCTTTATCAGTTAGACATTAAGAATGCTTTTCTCCATGGTGTTCTTGAGGAAGAAGTTTATATGGAGCAACCACCTGGTTTTGTTGCTCAGGGGGAGTCTAGTGGTCTTGTATGTCGATTGCGCAGGTCACTATATGGTTTGAAACAGTCCCCTCGAGCTTGGTTTGGTAAGTTCAACACAGTTATTCAGGAGTTCGGCATGACTCGTAGTGAAGCTGATCACTCTGTGTTTTATCGGTATTCTGCTCTGAATCTGTGTATTTATCCGGTGGTTTATGTTGATGATATTGTTATTACTAGCAATGATCAGGATTGTATTACTAATCTGAAGCAGCATATCTTTCAGCATTTCCAGACTAAGGATCTGGGCAGATTGAAGTATTTTCTAGGTAATGAGGTCGCTCAGTCTAGCTCAGGTATTGTTATTTCACAGCGGAAGTATGATTTAGACATTCTTGAGGAGACTGGAATGATGGGCGGTAGACCTGTTGACACTCCTATGGATCCGAATGCTAAGCTTCTGCCTAGACAGGGGGAGCCCCTTAGAGATCCTACGAGATATAGGAGGTTGGTTGGCAAATTGAATTACCTCACAGTGACTAGACCTGACATTTCTTTTCCGGTGAGTGTTGTAAGTCAGTTTATGGATTCTCCCTGTGATAGTCACTGGGATGCAGTTGTTCGCATTCTTCGGTATATAAAGTCAGCTCCAGGCAAAGGGTTACTATTCGAGGATCGAGGCCACGAGCAGATTGTTGGGTACACAGATGTTGATTGGGCAGGATCACCTTCTGATAGACGTTCTATGTCTGGATATTGTGTTCTAGTAGGAGGTATTTTGGTCTCTTGGAAGAGCAAGAAACAGCATGTAGTTGCTCGATCTAGTGCCGAAGCCGAATATCGGGCCATGGCTATGGCAACGTGTGAGCTACGTTGGATCAAGCAGTTGCTCAAGGAGTTGAAGTTCGGAGAAATCAGCAAGATGGAACTGGTGTGTGATAATCAAGCTGCTCTTCATATTGCGTCAAATCCGGTGTTCCATGAGAGGACTAAACACATTGAGATCGACTGTCACTTTGTCAGAGAAAAGATACTCTCAGGAGATATTGTTACAAAGTTTGTAAAGTCGAATGATCAGCTAGCAGATATTTTCACTAAGTCTCTTACTGGTTCTCGTATTAGTTACATCTGTAACAAGATCGGTACATATGATTTATATGCACCGGCTTGAGGGGGAGTGTGAAGTAGTTAGTCATGTTTAGTGATCCCACATCGGGAAGTAGATACCTATTATTATGTAATTACTGTATATAAATAGGGTTGTACAACACTTTAATCAATAATAATATTTTTCTCCCATGCATTCTCACATTAGCCAATTAAGGAAGTTATTGCTTTCAAGACATGAAACATGACCTCAATCAAAGAAAGAAGATTATGAGAAATTGACCCTGCTATTCTTCTTTAGCCCTCTTACAAGCGGAGACAAGAAAGATGACTTTATTTGACCTCCTATTGCATTCAGTTTTATTTGTATGTCTTCAGAAGAAATATTGCAACTTAAACGCAAGTATAACTCATGAGGTAGCACTATCAGGACAATACAGTATATTATACAACCACTACAATACCAACTGTAAGAAAAGTTCAATATTTTTTTTGATGAAGGTATTGCATTATAGGCATCAAGAAGATGCAAAAGGTTACAATAGAAGAAAAGTTCAATATTTTCTTTCAATAAGGGTATCAAGTTCAATATTTTTCAACCAGCTCAGGTCTCTTTCAACCTAGAGTCCCCTTTGTATTGGAGGTGGGAGGATATCTCCATGAGACTCCATCTCTGGAAGCATAAAAATTGATAAAACACAAAACAAAGTGAAAGTACCGCAATCTGTCTCCCATCAAGAACTAGTCTTGCGCCACTATCAACAATTGCTTGGATGAGCTTGGATATCCGTTCCCTGACCTATGGATGCCACACCAAATAATCACGATAAATTAATCCAATAGCCTGTTTGGCCAAGCTTCTTTTTGGCCAAAAGTGCTTTTTTTTTGCCAAAAGCACTTTTGGTCAAAAATTGAGGTGTTTGGCCAAGCTTTTGGAAGGAAAAAAAGTGCTTTTGAGGAGAAGCAGAAGTAGTTTTGGAGAAGCAGAAAAAAGTAGCTTCTCTCCAAAAGCACTTTTTTGAGAAGCACTTTTGAAAAAAATACACTTAGAAGCAGTTTTTTAAAGCTTGGCCAAACACTAATTGCTGCTCAGAAGTGCTTTTCAAACTAATTAGCCAAACACAAACTGCTTCTCACCAAAAGTACTTTTGAGAAAAGCACTTTTGAAAAAAAGCACTTCTCAAAATAAGCTGATTTTTGCAGCTTGGCCAAACGGGCTACAAGAAGGTGAACTTGTAGTAGCACTAGAATTCATCAAAGAACTGAAGCTACTTGACAAAAGCAATAACTGCATGGTAATTTTGCAGTACAAGCTCAAGTGGCTCCAGTAACCCAACTGCAAATCTCCTATCAGAGTAGAAATTAGGGTCAAAGTATGTACCTGTTTGCTGATTACTGGTCCAAGGGCTGCACCAGGTTCAGTTCCAGCATTTACTTTGAGTGCCTTTGCACCTTCTGCTAGTTTATCTTCCCTGTCAGTAATGATTAAGAAGCTCGGCATATAAATACAGCTAACATCCGCTAATCAAATAACTGATAAGCAACAATGAATGAAATGCAATCTTGTAAAGTCTGAGCCCTGAGGTAAAGATTGGAGTGGTAAAAAGTACAAGATTAACTTGAACTTGGCAAAGGATATACAAGTCCACCACTAAAATGTGAAAAATGGACAAATCATTTGCCTCGTCTTGAACCTTAATGAACTTAAACCCACCTTTTGGTTCTTTGCCCCATTTACCATCAGAAAAGGGAGAGTAAAACACCCTATAATCCAACTCCTCAAACTAATAGCAATGACTTCCTCTCCATACATTACCGACAATCAGGACATATTTAGCCTTAAATACAGACAAAGTTAAAGTTTGTCATTTTATACTGCTAATACAACAATAGCCCAAATTTTAGGAGTTAGTTTCTTATTTTTGAGAAAATTGTTAGTTGCTTATTTTTGAGAAAATTTTCACTCTATCTTCCATATGTATCCTTCTTGTGCTTAGCTACTTACTACTTTGTTGAAAAGAATGTATTGGATTGATTAGAGTTAAAGTTTTCGGCATCTTCTTTCGCCATAAATTGAAGTGCTGCTATCAGTGAATAAAATGCTCCTACTATTTGCTAGTGAAATTTGACTCAACTCTATCAAAGAACTTTTGACATGTAAAAACTCACAATCAGTTACTTATATTTTAAGCAATGAATTGAATTGTTAAATCTTTCTTTCGCTTTATTAAGTCAGAAAAATTCCCATCACACTATCATAAGTCTTAAGATTCAAAATTCATTACTTTAACTATGATTGTCCACTTACCTGAAGTTCAAGCCGTGTTGTCAAAGGCACGCTTAAGCCCTAAAGCGAGGCTCAAAGCATGTTGAGCGATTCGCCTTGCTTTGCTGGCGCTGCAGTGTCGCATCAAAGGCTCTAAGGCATACTTTTCCTCGCCAATGAGTGTAATCATGAAAAGGCGACACTGAACAATTGATATTTCACTTTATCGTAATTTTTTTTGTCCATACATTTGTTATTCATGCTTATAATTATTGGTCTTGGACTACATATACATATTTTACTTTTTCTCCATTTTTCGCCTTTTTTCATTAAAGCCCACGCTTTATTTGCGCTTAAAGCCCCAACGGGCCTTAGAGCTTTTTTGCGCTTTTCGCCTTTGATAATACTGAGTTCAAGTAGCATGTACGTTTGTCGGTTATAAAAGTGCTTTAACTTGAAATATCAAAGAAAGTTGAGTTTATATACCTATAAGATTTAAAGCAAGAAAGTTGAGTTTATATACCTATAAGATTTAAAGCATGTTAACCGTCGCAATTTTGGATGCTTTTATCCTTCCCATGCATAGCATTCGATTTCTTGGACTATTTAGAGGGGGAGATGGAGTTTCCTTTACAAGAAGAGACTAATGGCAATCATGTATACATACCAGAAAAATGAAATTCTATTACTATCATTTTGACATCAAGAGTGATCAGCAAAGAGTATGATAAGCATACAGGTGTACTCCACATAGTACATTCTTGGTACTGATTTTAATAAAACATACTTTATTTGATCAAAACAAGAATACGATAAGCATACAGTCGACCTTCAAGTAAACTGGAAGTTCTTGCCTCAGCAACTAACGCGAGAGAAGCTGGACTAAGCAAAAAGCAGAAAAGAGACTTGATCAAATGAAAAACTGGAGAATTAATACGAGTACCATGAAATTGAGCCTCCAACAAAAACCACAATGTTGATTGTTGTGCAGCGTTGGCCTGCAGCACCAAAACCAGCAGCAACTAGAGCATTCAAAGTAGCTTCAACATTTGCATCAGGCATGACAATAGCATAATTCTTGGCTCCCGCATTGGCCTGAGGAGAACAATTATAACAGCAAGTTGGCAACAATAGGATTATGTTACATGGACTCGTTTACTGGTACGTTTGAATATGGGTATGTACAAGTATCCGAAACGTGTGCGTGCAGTTTTTTCTTTTTCAGGATGTCCAGTATATTTAAAGATCCACATAAAGTAAGCGGCTAGTTAGAGACAGAAACTCTCTTTTCTCTCTAGACTTTGCCAGATAAATCAAGTCCTCGGCAGTACCCCAGTGATCACAGAAACTTCTATAGAAAATCAGGAGCGATCTGATCGTGCTGACTGCTGAGTAATGTAAGCTTAGTATATCATGAAGAGAAAGATTTGCTTACTAGATTGAATGACATAAAACTGGTGAGATCCTACAGAGAGGTAGCTACCTGCCCGGCCCTATTCCTAGAAAGGATTCTAGCCAGAAAGGGAGGATTTTTTCAAGGTGTCAAGAGAAAAGACAGCAGACTGAAGTTTCGAGAAACCTGTCTAGGTAGATGTTTCAATGCAGAGTAGGTTCCATTATATGATTCAACTAGGTTCCATTGGAAACAGTGTAGAGGGCTGCTCAGTGTTGGTGAGTGACTGCAGGCTTGAAATAGGTTCCATTGGAAACAGTGTAGAGGGCTGCTCAGTGTTGGTGAGTGACTGCAGGCTTGAAAGTGTCCAGCCTGCATAGAGATGGAAGGCGGACTAATTCTTGCTATTGTACCACTGGGCTTCCAGCACTAGGTGTACTGATCGGGAGAAAATGAGTGGAATCTTTGCGCCGAGCTTGATTGGTATCCCAATCTCTCTCTAGTGTGTAGACTTGTACAGGCAGATAGGTGACTTGTGTGGAGATTATGCCTACTTTTGAGCATAACAGACATGTCTAGTATGAAATCTGGAGAGAGAGAGAGAGAGAGAGAGAGAGAGAGAGAGAGAGAGAGAGAGAGAGACAAAAGCGATGTTCTGATCATGTTGTTGTCGAAGATGGAAGCTTCTGTTACAAAATTTGGATTTTATTGTTGGAGATGGAGATAGTATTTGATTCCAAAACATAGCACCACCAGAAAGTTGAAGAAGATGATGAAAGAGATGGAAAGGAAAAGCAGTTATGGAAGATTTCTCCTTTTTGCATTTTTTGGATTTTGTGGAGGGAAAGAAACAGGAAGCTTTTGAAAGAATAGAGAGTCCACTATTGAGGGTCGAGAGTTTTCTTTTACTTCTTTTATACTTAGGTGTAAAATGAAATTTGTGTAGAGAGTTGGTTAGACTTTTGGGGAGGCTTGATATATACACTACCATCCCACAAACAGGGGAAGCTTAAAGAGTAGGGTGTGCGAAGCCACTTAAATCACTTCTGTAAAGATCACACCATCTGGGTGTAGTGTAAGTAAATTCTTCTGACTCATCAAATTAAAAGAAAAAAGGAATCAGCATAAAGTACCCACAGCCATAACAAGCAAGAGTAGCCACATTTACCTTGACACATTTACTGTTGTTCGCCAATGATCTGCCATGCATATACAGTTGAGCCTTGATTATGACAAGAATATGTTAGTTACAGGATAAAGAAGATGCAAATTGCCAGGCTTAAATAAATGGAACATAATCAAGAGGGGAAGGACATGAAGCTTGTAGAGTTTCACAGTTAATAGCAGCCTATAGCTGGAATCCTACCACTTACCACTATAAGTAAAATATTGTCTCTCACGCAACAGGGAGGATTGAAAAATCGAACCCACAGACTTGCTTTTGCCTAGTTGCTTCGATATCTTCCCACCATACCTGGTGTTGCAGTCCCTTCAGTTTTTTTCCTTTTTTGATCTGGGTTCTTTCATTTCTTTTATCTTTGTTCATTCTTGGTTTAAATTGTTCAAATCACCTTTAAAATAAGATCCTGCAGCTTTTCATTTCTTTCTGTTTTCCTTTCAGTTGGGTATGCGAGGAGTATCAAAGTATGATCTGTAGCTACATATGCTTATGTTTGGTTACCTTTAATGACTAATTTTTTTCTAGCAAACATTTTTATTGATTACTCCCTTCCAAACATTCTCAGCTTATCCTCTTTTTGTTTCACTACAGGCACAATTAGAGTGAAGAAAAGGAACTAATTATGCAAGGGTCAAAGATCCAAAGTATGAAGCACTGCATCTATACACCATTACCTTGAGGATTTTTTAAACCCCACATTTTCAGACTATTAAAGGTGGTTATGCGAGGGTCAAACTTACAGCATCAGAACCAACAAAAGACACAACTTCAATATCGTCATCATCACAGATGGCATTGACAATGTCCTGCGCCAACAAAGTATCATGTTAATCAAAAACATGGTGCCAAGAATAAGTTCTATCACAATGGAAGATAGCAAACATTTTAATATAGAGGTCAAATACAGCTTCCAAAATTTAGAGAACTGGTTTGTCAGCAAATCAAACAATTCAAGGCATGCAAGCGAAGTGCGAGACCTAGTCCAAATTAACAATCAGATATGTGTTCTTGTCCTCAAATTAGGGAAGTTCATGAGCCAACAGTGATTGTTAATCAAGGAAATTGGAGCTTACATTGGTGCCATGAATAATATTTAAGACACCATTCGGCAAACCAGCTTCCAATACTAATTCTGCAAGTATCATGCAAGCTCCTGAAAGAAAAGATGCTACAATCATAAGTACTGCATACATTAATCAGAACCTTCTCTAAGGTACATATCCACATATACAGAAAGAGGAACAACTAAACAATTCTATAGATACAAGCATGAGGAGAGGATGAAATATTAGACCCTCTCTTTCACAAAAATGACATACTTCGCATTGCTTGTATTCCAAAAGTTAGTCCTCTTTCCTTAACTCTTACTCCCTCTCTTCCATTTTATTTAGCAATTATTTGTTATCAATCTGTAGCAAAAAGAATGACCCCTTTCCAAATTTGAAAACAATTTAACTTTAAACCTCCCCTTTTACCCTTAGTGGCATGCTTTTATAGTCACAAAAAAGTAATGTCGTGTTTAATACCACAAGTTCCAAAAGTCTTTCTTTGCTTCTTAAACTCCGTGTCTAGTCAAACACTGTCGTACAAATTGAAACGGAGGGAGTATCTCTTTAAACAGCAAAATCAATCTACAGGAGAAAAACATAATGTGAAATCTCTTAAACTATTTCTGTTGAGACTACATTTTGAAAATTAACCTGGCTAATAATAGTCTATCAGATATTTTGCTCCTAATCTCTTACGAGTATGAATGATAGAAAGAATGCTATTAACAAGACCCTAATTTTCTCTTTTAACTAACGATTACAAAATGAAAAAGGGAAGAGAGGCATCAAGACCTTTTCCAAGCATTTAAATGAAAGTATTACGGGAAGAAACTAAGAAGTTCTCCATTGCTCTATTAGCCAAAATATTCATATTATACTGGTAAAGGGGTAAACTACATGTGGTATTATCCACTCCCTCCGCCATGTGGCACAGTTTAATTTGAGGTCATGAAGGTTCAATTTGTACATATCTATGTCTATTATACCCATTTTGAAAATAAAACTGGAAAAATTAACTATATGAATATTTCAGCTGCTCTGATTCTCTGAAATTCTAACATATAGTTTTTGGACATAGCTAAAATGTAAAGTTTGTCTTCAAAGTGACATAGTGCAACAAAAATAGGGCATAAAGAAAAATATTTGACAAGACATGCAGTATAGATAATCAATGTATCTTCAAATTCCCTCTCTAAGAATGTTTATATGTTGCCTTGATGCAGTGAGGTCAAATACATTGATATGGGATGGATACTATGAGTAGTTTCAAAATTTGAATTATGGTTGTATCCTACATTGGGTGTCTGCATATCATATTTCTCAATTGATACACTTAATGAAGAATTTTATTTGCAATGTACAGGATCAGTACAGTTGGCACTGAATTTTCACTAAGTTATGGAATACTAGTCATTACAGCATCCATACTAGTCACTAAGTTATGGATGAGAAGAAACCAAATGACACATTCTAAGCAGTCAATAACCATACTAGTTTCTTCTGATAAGATGATCATCATAATAAAGCCACAACTAAATCAATCGAAATGGATGCCGATTGCTTTTAGGTAATTACAGTAAAACTAACCTCCTTCAGAGCTATTCGACCTTAAATTTTCATCTAAACCATAACCAATTACCTGGAGCTTTCTCAGATGGCTTTAGAATATATGTATTGCCGCATGAAATCGCAACAGGGAACATCTGGAAAAGAACACACCATCAAAGCATCAATTAATTAACAATATTGGATTACCACAACTTGCCAACCCTGAAAATTTAGAGGGAAGAAATAAATTAACTGGTATGAAAACAGAATATGACCGCTAAGCCCAAGCTTCTTTGGACAAAACCTCCGCTAGACTTCTCTAAGGGCTAATTGATGATAAATAAATCAGGCAACATCTTAAATAATCAAATCCAAAGAATCATCCAGGAGACATAGTGGAACCCAAGGATATGGCATAGAAGCAGCTGTAGTGAGGCTTACCCACAATGGAATCATAGCAGGGAAGGTGAATGGGCATATTCCTGCACAAACTCCAAGAGGCTCTCTGATACTAAAAGTATCGATTCCATTTGACATGTTTGAAACAAACTCCCCTGTCTGCAGTGCTGCCCCACCACAAGCACACTCCACTATTTCTGGAAAAGCAAATCCACACCACTTTAACTGGCGACGGACAGCAGTATAAAAAGCACCAGCTCTCACAGATCAGCCAGACAAAAATAATACATAACTAGGACCAGAATGATTTCAAAGTTGTCCTCTCAATTTGGGAAGACAATGAAAGTTGTTCCCTCAAAATCTTGAAATTATTAGGAGATAAAAATGGCAATACATGTTAGCTTAAGACTCATTAACAACAAACATCCTCGCAAGAAAATGTAAAAGGAGGCCTTTTAAAGTGTGAATTTCAGAATGCTACTTTATAATAAGAAAAAATATTAAATTCATCTAGATAGCAAGAATTCAAATTCAGAAGGAATCGATAAGAGCAAGTCCCCCTTTCATTTAATCAAGAATAACACAAAGGAAAATGTTATAAGGTACTCACCTAGCCCACGTTGCACTTCGCTGTATGCAGCCTTCAAAGTCTTGCCCTGCTCGGTAGCTATGGCGAACGCAAGCTTATCCTACATGATAATTGTGAACAGTTCTATAACCAAACCCTAATATGTATAACATATAAGCATGGTCGAAATCCCAAGATACGGACAATATCTCTCCGGATAAGTTCTTGAAGCTTGAACATGATCCGCTGACGGGTTGTAACTGGTGTGTGCCGCCACAATGGGAAAGCTCTTTTTGCTGCAAACACAGCAGCCTTAAGTTCTTCACCCGTACTTAAAGGAACTTGTGAGACCACTTGTTGTGTTGCCTGTCATTAGATTTCAGTCATAAAAAGCAAGTCAAAAAGAATTCCACCAAAGAAAAGTTTAGTCCATATTTGCGCAGCTGCACTTACAGGGTTTAGTACGTCAACGGATGCAGATGATTGCGAGTCAACAAATCTACCACCTATAAGATTAGGGTTCCTCTGCAAGAAAAGTTTGGACAAAGAAACATCCATTAAACTCAAAGATTGGAACACTTATCATGCATACATCCCAAAGATACAAGAGAAGGATTATGCACCAACTTTCAGACCCCATGAACCAATAAGAAATTAGGATATGGAAGGAGGGATATTGAGAAGTGCAAAGCAAAAATCCCTGTAAACTAAAAGAAAAACTTCTTTTCCCTTAGTACAAAGTAATATTAGCTCATGCTATCCCTTATCAAATGAAGAATCATATGTGGTATCAAAAGCAGTATCCTGGAGTGATTAAGCAGTATCATATATTTGACACAATCAAGATAGAAGCAGAGAGCTCAACCCTTAATTTCTCACCAAAACTACTAATTAGACATTTCTTCTAGCTTCACCCATAAGTCAGATTCACATTTTCAAACTGTTCAAAAGAAAGCTGTTACGGTATAACTATTGGGTGTAATTTAAGAAGGGTATATGACCTGAACCCTAAACTGAAATTGCCTACATGTTAGATGAGATAATTATTTCCCTATCAAAGCTAATGCACTAGACAGCAACTAGCAAAAGCGAGCGACTAGGGATAACTTTATTCTTTCGTGCTTTACCTTGGTTAGAAGGATATTGGAAGTTCAAAATGTTTCTTCTCGAGGGATATACTAATTATCTTACTAGAATAAATTTCAAAGAACCCTCGCTCTCTTGAAAAAAAGGAGAGGAAAAAGAAAGAAAAATAAGAGCAAGAAAAGGCAGTTACTTTTGGATATGGTTGATTAGATTCAAGTAACCTTACCGGAGGATAGCGCTTCCTCCAAGAAGGCTCAGTAGTCATTGCGGGCTGAGTGTTCCCTTCTACAGATGTACAAGGCCTCACTGTTTTGAATCTCCTCACTAAAACAGCACCTTACGATAATTCAGTATGTGAAAATAACAAAGTCATAATATAACAGTAGCTTTATCAGATTTCAGCTGAAGGGAGTAGAGGTCTCTTAGAGCAACCTACTAAAATTTATGTAACTCGGGCAAATACTCTTTAGCCATCAGTAATATTTTATGCATCAAAAGCAGTCCCACTCAATGGCAGCAAAATGAAAGTGGTACTAGCACATAGAATTCACATGGAATACATAAGATGTGCAAAACATTTTTTTTATCAAGTAAATTAAATTTTAATACATGCTTAAGATGTGCAAAACATGAATAACGGTATCCAAGTTGACACATCCTGACAAAGTTGATACTCAAGCAAACAGCAACTCATTGATCCAGGAATTTTATGCACAATAAATCTCATTTCTTTTTTAATTTTCTTTTTTTTGATAGGTAAGCTCATATTATTTTATGATTATGCTTATTCTAGTTGCTATGTTTTTTGAGCTCATTACACAATATGTAATGGATATACCATACATACCACCCAGCATTACCCTCAAATGGCATCAATAAAACTATCTTTTACTGATCCAAGAAAAGATTCATTAGATGTATCACAAGCTCATTTTTTGTAAGGAAGAAAAATAAATCACAAGTGAATTTGGTATTACGGAACTAGTACACTAAGCTCTGACATTTAATATTTGATAATAACTAATTCACATCTGTGAAATAAAATTAGAAAAATATAAGAAAATTATTGGCAAAAAGGGATGCAGGGGGCTGATGTGACAAAATTTGAACATCAAGAATCTTATGGCTCTAACAGGAATCTAATACTGATAGCATGCCACACACATGTCTGGAAAATTATTCCATGCCAAGAAATAAATTTAAGAATCTTCAATTTGCAGGCTCAGTTGGTTAACACTCATTCCCGTAGGAAAACACCTCCTCAACTTAAGGCAGTTGTAAGGTAGGTTGTAAATCATATGGTAGGGCCCCAAACGTACATGGTCAACCAAATATTCGAGGTATCTCCTTTCAACCTTTCATTTTTGCATAAAAAAAGCTGACAGTCAGTTGAATTAGTGAAACGAGATGGAGGCAGGTGTAAAAAATTAGATAAACTCGTGACGGTCTACATTGATGTTAGAATGCACGGGAGAAAAATCTATTTTTAACAATGATGCAATGAGCCCTATATATAATACATATTCTACTCCTACTACATATAGGACTAGGACATATTCTACTCCTACTACATATAGGACTAATAGCCCGTTTAGCCAAGCTGCAAAAATCAGCTTATTTTAAGAAGTGCTTTTTTTCAAAAGTGCTTTTCTCAAAAGTACTTTTGGTGAGAAGCAGTTTGTGTTTGGCTAATTAGTTTGAAAAGCACTTCTGAGCAGCAATTAGTGTTTGGCCAAAATTTTAAAAAACTGCTTCTAAGTGTATTTTTCTCAAAAGTGCTTCTCAAAAAGTGCTTTTGGAGAGAAGCTACTTTTTTCTGCTTCTCCAAAACTGCTTTTGCTTCTCCTCAAAAACACTTTTTTCCCTTCCAAAAGCTTGGCCAAACACCTCAATTTTTGGCCAAAAGTGCTTTTGGCAAAAAAAAAAAAGCACTTTTGGCCAAAAAGAAGCTTGGCCAAACAGGCTATAAGGCTATTTACACATAACTATCTAACACTCCCCCCAAGCCGGTGCATACAAATCATATGTACCGAGCTTGTTACATATGTAACTAATACGAGGACCAGTGATTGACTTGGTGAAAATATCTGCAAGTTGATCATTCGACATACAAGGCTACTAGACTCCCCCTGAGCAACAAAACCAAGTGGTTGCTGATAAGAAAAGTTGGCTGAAAAGTCACCGGAAAAATTTGAAAATAGTGAGACCAAGCCGAATTCCACACCACAAAATAGGTTTTAAAACACCACAAGAAAACAGAAACTTTTATGAAATTACTGTTCACAGCGGGAAGCGGGAAATCACTGTTCACGCCGAAAAAATAAAAGTTGTCACGCGTCGGAAAAGTTATTGTAGCTCGCCGGAATCCTAGTTCTGGCGGTGCGTGGAAGCGCGTGACTTTCTGCCGAAGTGACTGACTGGGGTTTTGTCGCCTGACTTTTCCGAACAAGATGGTAGTGTTGGTTTTCGCACAACACTTACCGATGAGGAGATAACGCAAATCAATCTTGAGTCGTCAACCAGAAAGACGCACGATGACTGACTTTTCTGTTCAGATGGGACTGGAAATTTTTGGGGTTTGGTCGCACAAGGGTTTTGGATCTGATGGTGGTACTGGTATATGCACAGTACCACTGTAGCAGTGATGAACCCTGGGAACAAGACGAAGTTGCCGGAAAATTGCACGGCGATGAGATCTTTCTTCCCGGATGTCGCTGGAATGACGCACAACGATAATATTCTCACTGAAGCTCTGATACCATGTGAGAATGCACGGGAGAAAAATCTATTTTTAACAATGATACAATGAGCCCTATATATAATACATATTCTACTCCTACTACATATAGGACTAGGACATATTCTACTCCTACTACATATAGGACTAGGACTATTTACACATAACCATCTAACAATTGACAAGCAAAATATTTGGATTACAAGCATTTCAATTGAAAGCGAGCTCCCCATCTCAATGTAAACTATGTTGCGCGGACTCTCCAAAATGCAGCCGCACCCGTATCGGATCCTTAAAAATGCACTACTCTTGGAGGATCTGACACGTGTCCTGTCACATTTTCGGAGAGTCCGAGCAACATAGGTTGTAAATTATATGGTAGGGACCCCAAAGCACCTCGCTGACCAAAAGTTTGAAGTATCTCCTTTTCTACCTTTCGGTCTTTCATAAAAGAAGCTAACAGCTTAGTTGAATAAGTTATATGAGATGGGGACAGGTGTGCTAAATTAGATCAACTGGCAATGAGCTACCATAGCCTAGCAGCTGATTTTGTAATTATTATTTGTTCCTTTTTTGCATGGAGGGGTCTACTGTAGGTGGCCAAGCACCACAATTTCAGCCTTCTGGTGTCAATCTCAAACCCTCATTGGGAAAAAATTGTTTTTACTGAGACAAGCCAAGAAGTTACATTACAAGAAGTCATAATTAGTTAAATTCTACAGCCTCTTGACATTTCTTGGAGAAGAACTTCAGCCTTCACCACAACTTCAGCCTTTTGCCACAAGCCATGGACCAGTACAGCACGTGCTCATTCAGGAGAACATGAAAAGCTAAGATAACGGTAAAAGTCTAGCAGAACACTTCTTCCTTGAAGTTATTCTGATTTTGACATCCCAAGTAAATGATGAGAAACGTTATATATTAAGGCATGCAAAATACAATAGTAAGGATTTAACAAGAAAAGAGCAATGACCTATAATAACATCAAAACGAAATAAGCATCCCAATAGTAATAACCAATATTAGAACGAGAGTATAAGAGATAAACAAAGTGAGCACTAGAGGATAAGGATGGTAAAGAAGGCTCAACCGTTAAGATTTCCATGCCGTAGCTTAGCTTTAACGTTGTAAACATGTTTTGGTGTCGACAAAAGGTCTGGATTGGTCTGCCTAAGCCTCTTTAGAATCTGACGTGGCTTTAAACCAGCATCTGTCATCTCTTTAATTAATACTACTTCTTTCTCTGAAAAACGTCGAGCAGAGGGATGCTCCGAGATGTCCTTTAAGGCTTCATGATTGTGTGATCCATCTTTTACCGTAAGAACCCACAATCCATCTTCCTTCTTACCCACAAGCTCAAAAGGACAATTTGTTAACCGAGATCCCATCTTCCTTTTTCGAGAATGTCCACAGGATGTCTCATCGACAGGCTTACGCCTATTCCGGTAAACACCTCCTCTGTCACAGCCAAGTACTACCACTTTGTCTTTCTTAGACTGTTTGATCGTGACAACATATCCCTGGGATAGTGCAAACTCCCCAACATGCTGAATGAGTTCTTCACGATCAATAAAACTCCCTGGTGGAGGTGGTAACATCTCTGGAGTTTCATTTGGATCCGTGTAAGTATTTTCCATGATTAATATTTAACAGTAATACACCTGCACATGCAACAAGAAAAATACAGTAAGTAGCACCACAAAGCTAATAATATTGACCAAAAACTCAAACAGGTAAAATTTCACAGCTACATAAAAGATGCAGGCAAGGTTTATCAAATTGTTTGGTACAGTATCTGCTCTTAAGTCTTATACCAACCTTCCAGATAAATAGTAAAGAAAGTGATTGAGAAAAGAAACATAAAGTACCCGTTTCCAATGATTCTATTAGATTTCCAGTTGTCACTTAGAGGGGAAAATAGTATAAACACTACCACCAAAGTTTTGATGGAAACACATTTAGAAAATGTTGAAGCATTTAACTATCACATACTTCTAGGTTTCAGAACAATGGGTCAGAAGTATGGTATAAAAGAGAAGAACAACATACAGGTCAATTTACAACTAGCAATATAAAGCCCCCACTTTTTTCCTTTCTTTATTAAATTTAGTTCAACTAGATACATGGTTTAACTCCACCTATATGAGCTTTTCAAAGCATAACTGGTCTTAGACCCGGACAAGGAAGAAGGTTCCAGTAGGTTCCGCCAACATAAAATAGTTTTAAGCATGAATCCTCTGAATACCCTAATAGTGCGAAATGTATAGATGCTATAAAAAAAAGTTACAAGGATACATATGCTACCTATAGCCTCACCATCGACCTGAATTCTCTCCAATCACACAGAGACCATGCCAAGCTGAAACTTTTACTCTCAGATCAATTCATTTTCCGGTATATATACCTTGCCATCACTCAGATGACTATGGTTACCTTTACCATTAACCTGATGATTTCAAACCAACAGTAACAGTCATCAGAAGACCAAAGCAAAAAGTGAGAAAATGAACACAGAAGCTAACTTGATAAAAAGATATACTAAGGGGCAACAAGCAAAGCGAAAGAGAGACAGAACCAAGAGACTCACCACATGATCTACTATACAATGTCCTCATGGATGGCCATTGCTTTAGACTTGTGATATTTCTAACAACTGCAGAAAACATGGAACAATTTGGCATCGGATAGAGAAATTGAAGAAGCGATACATCAGTAAAAGAGAGAATATGCACAGGTAGCACGCATACAAGTGCACTACGGAGATAGATACCGACAACCATACAGACAGATATTGTGTGAGAGAGATACAAAGCAAACTTAATTGCTCACATAATAAATAAGAAGAAGGTTCAAAGCTAGTATCCACCACCACCATAAACATGGTGGGGATGCATAGTTGGACATATAGGAGGGAATGAGGAGGAGTGGAAGGAGTGATGTATAGTTGGACAAATAGGATGGAGGGAGGAAGAGGAGAAGCAGAGCATGGGATGTTGCGCCGCTAGCACTCAAGTGGGTACTCTGGAGAGGAAGGAATAGGAGAGCTTTGGGACAGGGGAATATGACTTTGTACAGTTTCAGACTTGTCTTTTATTTTTTTGTTTAACTTTTGGAGCATCCACAAAGTTCCTTAGGGCATAGATGATTGGCTGTCTATTGTTTTGATTGGGTGTCTGTTGTAAAGAACTATATCTTTGTGTAGGCTTTCTACTCTTTGGCATGGTGGTTTTTCCACCAGAAAATCAATAAACATTTCTCTCATCAAAAAGTGGAACCAAGTAAAAGAACGAATATAAATAAACACATTGTATTATTTTGCAGCATAATAGACCAGTTCAGAAAAATTTACTTCTGGTATTTGAATATGTATCAAGTGAAAATCATTAATCTAATAACCCAGAAAAAGCTTTAATTCTGGAAAGAAATGTTTGTTTTTAAAAGAGAGAAACAAAAAAATGTTTGGAGCACTAGGAAGAAGAAATAGGAATATAAGATATGAAGGATTTACGAGCATATTGCCTCACCCTTCTAAGACAACAACAACATACCCAGTATTATCCCACACTGTGGGGTCTGGGGAGGGTAGTGTGTATGCAGACCTTACCCCTACACTGTGAGGATAGAGAGGTTGTTTCCAATAGACCCTCGGCTCAAGAAAGCATAAGCACCACATTAATGAAAATATAGACAAGAAGGGACAGTACCAAAAAGCCATACAAAAGCAGAATAAAAACAACATGATAGTAAGGTAATCAACAATGAAAGAAAACAACGGTTAGTCATAAAAACCTACTACCAATAGAAAGCAAGACTGCGTGCCAATACTACTGTTATGAACACTCTAGACTACCTACTCTACTACCCTAATCCCCGACCTCCATACCTTCCTATCAAGGGTCATATCCTCGGTCAGCTGAAGCTGCGCCATGTCTTACCTAATCACCTCTCTCCACCTCTTCTTAGGCCTACCTCTACCTCTCCATAGGCCCTCCAATGTCAACCTCTCACACCTCCTCACCGGGGCGTCTGTGCTCCTCCGCCTCACATGACCAAACCACCTAAGCCGCAATTCCCCATCTTGTCCTCAATAGGGGCCACAGCCACCTTGTCGCGAATAACCTCATTTCTAATCCTATCTAACCTGGTGTGCCCGCACATCCATCTCAACATCCTCATCTCTGCTACCTTCATCTTCGGGACATGAGCGACCTTGACTGGCCAACACTCATCCCCATACAACATCATTGGTCTGACCACCAATCCGTAGAACTTATCTTTAAGTTTCAGTGGCACCTTCTTGTCACAAAAAACACCGGAAGCGAGTCTCCATTTCATCCATCCCGCCCCAATATAATGTATGACATCTTCATCAATCTCCCCATCCCCCTAAATAATAGACTCAAGGTACTTAAAACTTCCTCTCCTAGGCATGACCTGCGAGTCCAGCCTCACCTCTCCTTCCCCTTCTTAAGTCTCACCACTGAACTTACACTCCAAAGTATTCTGTCTTGGTCTTGCTCAACTTGAAACCTTTAGATTCCAGGGTCTGCCTCCATACCTCTAATTGCGCGTTCACACCGTCTCTCGTCTCGTCAATCTATACAATATCATCTGCAAATAGCATGCACCACGGCACCTCCCCTTGGATGTGGCGCATCAGTACGTCCATCACCAGAGCAAACAAAAAAGGGCTGAGTGCCGACTCCTGATGCAACCCCATCATAACCGGAAAATGGCCCGAGTCCCCGCCCACCGTCCTCACTCGGGTCTTTACTCCATCATACATGTCCCTAATCAAACTAACATAGGCAACAAGAACACCTCTAGCCTCCAAACATCTCCACAAAACCTCCCTTGGAACTTTATCGTACACCTTTTCTAAGTCGACAAACACCATATTGAAGTCCTTCTTTCTCCCTATACTACTCCATCAATCTCCTAACAAGGTGGATGGCTTGTGTAGTCGAACGCCCCGGCATAAACCCAAACTGGTTCTCGGAGATAGACACACTCCTCATCACCCTTAGCTCTACCACTCTCTCCCATACTTTGGCTAAGCAGCTTGATACCCCGATAGTTACTGCAATTTTGGATATCACCCTTGTTCTTGTATACAGGAACCATCCTGCTCCACCTCCACTCTTCGAGCATCTTTTTCGTTCTAAAAATGACATTAAATAACCTAATGAGCCACTCCACGCCTGCCTTGCCCGCACTCTTCCAAAACTCCACCGGGATGTCATTCGGACCGGTCGCTTTGCCCCTGCTCATCTTACGCATAGCCCCCTCAACTTCATCAACTCTAATCCGCCTACAATACCCAAAGTCACAACGACTCCCGGAGAGTTCCAAATCACCCAGTACAGTGTTCTTGTCCCCCTCCTCATTCAAGAGACTATGGAAGTAGTTCTGCCATCTCCGACGAATAAGCCCCTCATCCAACAAAACTCTACCTTCTTCGTCCTTGATGCACTTCACTTGGTCCAAGTCACGCGCCTTCCTTTGTCGTGCCTTTGCTAGCCTGAACAACCTCTTATCCCCACCTCGGCCCTCGAGTTCCTCATACAAACGACTAAAAGCTGCATTCTTGGTGGCCGTAACTGCTAGCTTTGCCTCTTTCTTAGCCAACTTATAATGCTCCCTATTCGCCCTCTTCTCCTCTTCGTCTACACTTTCCACTAGCTTCAGATACGCTGCTTTCTTAGTTTTCACTTTTCCTTGCACCTCACCATTCCACCAATAGTCTGCCTTGTGACCACCAGAGTAACCCTTTGAGATCCCTAATACCTCTCTCGCTTCCCTAATGCACTGCGCAGTCAACTGCGTGGTTCACATAGCGCTTGTGTCCCCACTACTCCTCCAAGTCCCTATAGTCAACAACTTGACCCCCAATTCCTGCGTTTTAGCTTCCGTCAAGGCTCCTCACTTGACTATACATCGCCCTCTTACTCCTCTTCCTCGTGACCAAATTTTTATTCCTCAAGTGAGAAGAAATCTTAGATAATCAAACATTTAAAGATAGCAAGACCATAAGCCTCTTTAGCATTCAGGCAATTAACTTTAATTGCGATCGATTGTATGATCATTTGTATATATTCACTCTATTCAAGTCCATTTTATTCTAATACGAAACAATTTGTCTTTCAAGGCAAATAGGTTTTTCTAAAATTAGAGAATCTAGACCTAACACTTCTGCCTAAGTAGTCAAACTAAAAGCTCCCAACAAATTTTGGACCCAATAGAAGTATAATAATAGCAACTAAACCTCAATTCCAACTGGTAGGCATGGCAACCCTAATCTGCATTGATTTTGATAGATTGTAGGTCTTATGAACCTGACTTTAGGACCTCAATTCCAACTGGTAGACATGGCAACCCTAATCTGCATTGATTTTGATAGATTGTAGGTCTTATGAACCTAATTTTAGGTCTACTTCATCTCGCTCTATCAACTTTAATCATTATATTGTCGCACCTATGTACCAGCGTATCTGGAGATCTATGGATGACATGGTCAAACCATCTCAGGTGATCTTCTCATTCGTCCTCTATGTGTGCTACTTACCGCTTTGCCAAATATGGTTATTTCTACTCTAATATAAAATATTGAGTGTGCATCCATCGTAACATTCATCTTGTAAGTATGTTGGGTCCACTAAGGCCCAATATTCAAGTTATCATGAATACAGTAGATAGAGAAGAGAAGTGGAAGAGTGAGAAGAAATGATCATCATCTACCGTTCTTCCCAGTTAGTATGTCACTATCTTGGTGCAGATCAATAGAATTTCTTTTGATAAATCAAAAATAAAGAACGTAATGACCATCCCCTATTCCGGAGGAGATACTACTACAGGATTCCATATCTCTCCCAAAGTTCAGATAAAAAGATGCCTTCTTCTTACCACTCTACACCAAAGAGTATTATCTGCGTACAAAACAACTTAAGCATAAAATTCTCTAGTGACCCTGCACCCTTTTTCATTAGTCTCCAAACAAACACCACCATAGGCTTTTTCTTAAAAGTCAAACTAGCAACAATCATAAGCCAATTACCACAAGTGGCCACATGCACCCATTGACTGGAAACTGCAGAATATACAGTGACTAAAGTGGTTCTGACTAGACCAATGACGGTTTATTGATACCAATTGCCCCTCCTTTTGCTCCACTCAAATACAATGTAGGAGCAAATAGAAGAACAAAGTGCGGACTGCACAAAATCTCTAGTTGCAAACTTTAAACATCAAAACCTACAAGAAATAAACTACTTAAGCTATCAATTTATTTAAGAGGAAGAAAAAAAAAAGAACTAATCAAGCACTGTAAAATCTTGGTTTCAATCTCATACACTTAACTCTATCTTGAGCAACTGAAACCGAAACAACAAAAAGGGAATCGATTCATGAAAGAGGGATTAACTAAAACAAAGAAGAAATCTTTTTTAAATGTCTTATGAACATTGCTATTACCGGAGACGGCGATGACGCTGCCGGCGAACGGAATAGGGACGCGTTAGGATTTCCGGTCGTATTTCCCAGTCGGCAAGTGCGGTGAGTATCCGTTGGTTTGTACCTTCTGTGAGAGGAAGAGGAAACCACTGCTCCCTCCGTCTCATTTAAACTTATGATTTATAACGACACAATCTTTATTTTAGTAAAAGAAATTCTTAAATCTCGGCTTAGTTAAATAATACTGATATAAATTAAAAGAAAAGATTAGTTTTTTGTTATACATGTGTGCTTTTGCCCTAATACCAACAATAGTTTAATATTCAACCGTGTTCTCTTTACCTATATATTGGTATGAAGGATACCCTTCAAAAAATAAGAGCACTTTATTCATCAAAATATTTCACTAAAACACTTCATTTAAAAATAAAATTAATCTTTTATTGTTATAAATAGTATTGTATTCAAAGTGCATGTCTATCTTTTAAGGCTTTAGAGTTTGTTACTTTGTGACTAAGTTACTTTTTCCCTATAAATATAGGGGTTTTATGCCATTATAATTCATCTCAAAATCAATACACTTCTCTCTCTTTTCTTTGCAATATTCTTCGTTTCTTTATTGTTTTATTTCACGTTATCTCTACCGTCCCAAGAAGCTCTTTGAGAAGACTAAGGTATAATTTTCTCCTCTTTTAATTAAATATGACTGATATTATGAAACGAAAGTTCGTTGCTTTCGAAGTTTCAGGCAAGAACTATATGTCATGGGCGTTGGATGCTGAAATCTATTTAGATACAATGGGTCTTGAAGACGCCACTAAAGATACAAATAAAGCATCTACCCAAGATTGTGCTAAGGTTTCTTGCACCAACACCTTGATGAAGGGTTGAAAATAGAATATCTCACAGTCAAAGATCCGCTTTGTTTTGTGGAATGGCTCAAAGGAAAGATATGACAACCCTTCATCTTTCCTTTAAGCTATTCTACAAAATTAAACAAGTGGATCTTTGAATGTGAGATATTCTATTTTCAAGCATTCATCAAGGTGATGGCGCAAGAAAATCAAGGCCTAATTAGCACAATCTTGGGTATATGCTTTATTTTTATCTTTAATGGCGTCTCTAAGACCCATTGCATCTAAATGAATTTCAGGATCCAACACTCATGATATATAGTTCTTTCCCGAAATTTCAAGGGCAACGAACTTTCGTTTCATGATATGAGTCATAGTTAAAAGAGGAAAAGAATTATACGTTACTCTTCTCAAAGAGCTTCTTGATACAACAGAGTCTCGTGCTGATAATGTGAAATAAAATAATAAAATTATTTTATTAAAACGCTTATAAAAAAGTATAACGCGTATTAACTCCAATTTGTGGTAATTTATTTTTTATTCAATATAAAAATATTAGCAGCCGAAGGCATAGATTAATTAAGTATAACTATGAAATATTTTATGATGTCTAAAAATAATGTAGTCAGTGTAATTTGTATTATCTTTGTCGGCTGTGAATAATTTGGTAATGCCTCTATAAATTCTGTTTATTTTATACTTTTTTTTACCAAATAAGTAAAAATTAATTTTATACGTCTATAATAATCATTGAACTTCTATTTTGTATTGATGGTTAGTTTTATATTGTATGTTTTGCAGAAGTGTTTCAATCATTCTCAAAAATAAAATAAAAAGGAGAAGAAAAAAAAAAGGAAGCTTATGGCAAAGAGGCCTTTCATGTCCCTAGCTAAAAAGTTCTTCATTACTTAAAAGTTTATTTTAGAACACCGATCCCTCGGTTTGTAGTCTTTATGGAAATTCAATCTTATACAAAATTTAAATAAGGAAAAATTAAAATCTTAATGGATTTAAAATTCCTAAATAAAAGGAGTTCCTACAAATTCAAAGTTCTAAATATTAAGAAAATAATTAAATGACTATTTTATTTAGTGTAAAATTTATTTTTAAAGGGTGAAAAAGGCAAATAACATATCGCTTAGGAGTTTCGTGCTTTTAATATAGTACTAGTTACTATGTACATGCATTGCACGTAAATATTTAGTCAGAACTTTTATGTGAAAGCACAACTAGCTAAATTTAGTAGGAAAATTATTTACAAGATGATATGATCATTGTAAAGTAATTAGCGTGATAAAAATGCAACATTTAAATGCTAAAATTAGTGTCATTACATTAATAGAATACTTGAATTCAAAATTATATCGCTTTAACCTACAAAGATGATCAATTTAGCTAATTTAAATGATATTCTGTCACGACCCGAATTTTCCTCCCTCGGGAGTCGTGATGGCGCCTACTATTGAGAGCTAGGCAAGCCAATACTTAACTACTTACTTCGTTAACAAATTACTTCTTTTTAACAAATATAAGCGATAACATGAAATCAGCGGAACTTTAAATAATGAAGCGCAAGGTAACAATAAAATATCTGGAATCAACGTCTATTACAACTTCTAAAAACCTCAAATACCCAAAATCTGGTGTCACGGTATCACAGACTATCTAAGATTACTACATACAAGGTCTGAAGAATAACAGCACACTGTCTCTGAATAAAAGAGAAGGAAACAGGAAATAGAGATAGAGGGAGACGTCAGGGCCTGCGGACGCCTGCAGGTCTACCTTGGGTCTCCGGGTGGACTGAAGGAAGCCCTCCAACTACTGTCCGAAAGCTGCTCCGAGATCTACACACAGTGCAGAGTGTAGTATCAGCACAACCGACCCCATGTGCTGGTAAGTGCCTAGCCTAACCTCGGCGAAGTAGTGACGAGGCTAGGACCAGACTACCAAATAAACCTGTGCAGTTTAAATATATACAGCGAAAAAAAAAATACAGAAATAACCAGTCAATGTGGGAAGGGGAAACATGCTGTGGGGGAGATAACAGTTTTGAATAGAAAGGCATCAAGTAAAGAAAGGAACAACATAATACGAATATCAACGAGGAACAGAAATCAACAGTTTGCACGGCATCACCCTTCGTGCTTTTACTCTCGTCCTCACCAAAACAATTATTTATCAAAGATGTGCACGGCATCACCTTTCGTGCTTTTACTCTTTTTCCTCACCATGTAATCAATACAGTCGGCACGGAATGGTACATCGTGCGGCACGGTATCACCCTTCGTGCTTTACACTTTTTCCTCGCAATATCAACAATGCACGGCATCACCCATCGTACTTTAACACTCTTCCTCACCCAAACAACAATTACAACAAGGGGCAAGGGAATAAACAAGATCATATAGAAATTTCGGCAAGGGAACAACAATTAAATAATTAAATCCCAGCAAGGGAACAACAATTAAACAATTAAATCCCGGCAAGGGAACAATAATTAAATAATTAAATCCCGGCAAGGGAACATTTCAATAACTCTTTCTTTATCTTTCACTTATACTTCATAACTCACTTTACCACTTGAGCCAATGCTCCAAAGGGTTCAATCATCTCATATACTTTCACAATTCATAATATAACTCGAGCCAATGCTCCAAGATGTTCAAATGTCACAATTCCTTCCACAAACTTTTCACAACAACTAGAAATCATCACCAAGGCATGAAGAATACAACGAAATCAAGATATTCACAATATAAAGACTCACGGTCATGCTAGACACCAACGTATAGATACTCGTCACCATGCCTATACGTCATACACAACGAATACCACATAGCAAATAGGACTCAACTCCTAATCCCTCAAGCTAAGGTTAGACCAAACACTTACCTCGAACTTCCACGGCCAACTCAAGCCTCAATCACCGCTTTTCCTTTCAAATTCGGCTCCAACCCAATCGAATCTATACATAATCGACTTAATAACATCAATAAATGCTAAACAATCCAATTCCAATGTTTAATTATAGCTTTCCAATCGTTCTTCCCAAAAACCCAAAAATCGACCTCTGGCCCGCTTGGTCAAAACACGAGGTTCGGACCATAATCAAATCACCCATACACCCACGAGCCCAAATATATAATTATTTTCAGAATTCGACCCCAAAACGAGGTCTAAATCATAATTAATCAAAAAACCCTACTTCTACCCAAATCCCTAATTTTCTACCCTTATTCATATGATTTAGGCCTAGAAATCTAGTGGGTGTTGATGGAAAATGAAGAAAATGAGTCTAAGATTACATACCTATGAGTTTGTGGTGAAATCCTCTTTCAAAAATCGCCCAATTCGGAGTTGAGATGAAGAAGTTATGAAATTTTGAAGAAGTCCCGTAATGACTACTGTTTTAAAATCGCTGGGCAGACCTTCATCGCGTTCGCGATGGGTCTACCGCGTTCGCGAAGAGCATGTCTCCTCAGGCTTATGCGATCGCAAGTCCTCTTACGCGTTCGCGAAGGGTTGGCCCCCTGACCTTCGAGTTCGCGGGCCTATGAACGCGTAGCGTAGAGGAATGTTCACTTCCCAGACCAGCCCCCCATTTACACTATGCGTTCGCGGGACGTGGGTCGCATTCGCGTAGAGTAACCCCCCAGTGCTCCGCGTTCGCGATCCTTCCCTCGCGTTCGCATTGAACAAAATCACCCCTGTCCCCATTTACCTTTCGCGATCGCGAGAGTGACTACGCGATCGCGAAGAACAACAAGCCTGAGCACCTGTTGCAGAAAATATGCAACTTTTTCTTAAGTCAAAGACTTCCCGAAACACATCGGAAATACTCCCGAGCCCTCGGGGCTCCTAACCAAACACACGTACTAACTCAACAATATCATACGAACTTATCCGTGCGATCAAATCGCCAAAATAACCTCAATAACAATGAATCAAACTTCAAAATCAAGAAATTTTTCTCAAATTTCATCAAGTATCAAATTTAGCAATTTAGGTCCGAATCACGTCAAACGACGTCCGTTTTTCACCAAATTTTACAGAAACATCTTAAATCATATATAAGACCTGTACCGGGCACCGAACCAAAATACGGGCCCGATACTAACATGTTCTAATCAAATTTCATTTCAAATTTCCTTACCAATTTCAGAAAACAATTTCTTTCAAAAGATTTATTTCTCGGGTTTGGGACCTCGGAATCCGATTCCGGGCATACGTGCAAGTCTCATATTTTCCTACGGACCCTCCGGGACCGTCAAATCACGGGTCCGGGTCCGTTTACCCAAAACGTTGACCAAAGTCAAAATAAT